TCCCATTATTATTATTGTTGATTCCTTTAAAACTATCCTTTATCAGTAGGATTATCTTAACTCACTTCAACACTATTATTATTATTGTTATTATAACTATTACTATTGACATCCCTCTGGTTGCAATTCTTGTTAAATTCTCTAATGTCTAATTGTTTATCTAAGTGATGTAATTGAAGCGTAATGCAATTTATCTTAATTTTGATCTCCCATACTCTCTCTCCCCTTATCTAATTGAACATGACCTGGAAAAACGTTCGCACCTGTCTTTCTGCATAACTAATTCAATGTAGTTTGTTTACTTATCAGTCCTATATCTCCCAATGTAATTTCAAAAGTATATATATCCGTGTATGTAGAGTATTCAGCTGACGAGCTCTACCGAAATTTGATGAATTCATTAAATCCTGCTTTATTAACCTTTATTGCTTGTTTTAAATGCCATAATAAACAGGGGGATGGGATGGCATTCTAATTCCTAATTGTAATTTTCATTAATTTGACCCCTAACCCGAAATTATTCTGGAACTTTCCCATCCATCTGATATAAATACACGAATGTACAGCCTAGATGATGACTTTGTCGAAAAGAAAATCTTCACTGCAACTGTCTTTTTATTTCCTATGATCAAATGTATATATCCCGTGATTTGAAAACGAGCAAGGACCGTTCGACGGTAAAGGAACTGAACAAGTTTCTACGTTTATCCGTCAAGCTTGCTGAAGCGAATGCGAAGATCTCCTTCTGGAAAAGCTGTCTGGATAAACATGAATACCCGAAAGCATTCTGGAAAAATCTGAGACGAAACCATATATCTCGCAATTCACGCACGCTCAGAAGACACACCCAGAATCACATTGATGCCGTCCGATCCAGATTAGCTGAACTGGAACAAAACGTCTCAATGAGCTCCCACGTTCTTTACGATTTAACTGTTGATGAACGTGCGTCATTCGAACACTACGCCAATACAGTCTCAGAGAAGAGAAAGGAAAATATCATCATGAAACTTAAACAAAGCCTAAAATCAGTCACCAAGGAAACAGCTTTCCCATCTTGTCCCGAGAAATATGTATTCAATTTTTCTGATGTCTCACTTTCACCGATTCAAATGCAACTGTTGTCGCTCGGACCAAAATTTTGTGATGCATCATCAAAAGTAAACGAATTGAACACCAAAGTACAATTCGAGAATTTGATTAGTCAGACGAATGATCTGGTCCCAATTTCATATGACAGTGCAGAACACTTCAAATCAACTGTTTTGAATTGCTGCCTCGACTACATCAACAAAAAACCTAGACTTCGTAATATGCTTTCAAAAGAACATCGAAAGCAACTCAAAGAATTGAAATCAAATGAAAACCTGATAATAACTCGACCAGACAAAGGTTCTGGAATTGTTCTGCTTAACAAGTCAGACTATGTGAAGAAACTCTCGTCAATTCTATCTGATGACAGCAAATTTCAAAAACAGACGATCCAAAAAGATCCAACTGAACAGACGGAGCTCCAGCTAACCAACTTATTGAAAAAAATGAAAGATGAATCGATTATCAATACAGAACTATATGAAAAACTTCGCCCATCTGGTTCTACATCGCCACGAATGTATGGACTACCCAAAGTGCACAAAAAGGACGTCCCACTCCGCCCAATATTAGATATGATCAATTCGCCATATCACCTAATCGCGAAGTGGCTGGTAGAAATTCTTGGACCAGTGAAAGAAAAGTTGTCGAGATACAACCTCCGCGACACATTCGATTTCGTGGATTCAATTAAAAATGTCAACCTCGCAAATAAAAAGATGGTCTCCCTAGACGTCGTCTCTCTGTTCACCAATGTTCCACTGACAGAAACTATATGCTTTCTGTGTGACTTCATCCAATGCAACAGCATAGATGTCGGCATACCGATCCATTATCTAAAGGAGCTGTTACTACGTTGCACCTTCAACGTCTACTTCAGATTCAACAATGAAATCTACAGGCAAACAGATGGCGTAGCAATGGGCTCTCCACTCGGACCACTCCTAGCCGACTGTTTTATGGCCAGCCTCGAAAACAACCCCTTATCATCAACTATCGACGACCTTCATCTCTACAAGAGATACATTGATGATACTTTCATCATTTGTGATGAGAAGCTGGACCTTGAAAACTTACTTCAAATCTTCAACAACGCCCACCCAAACATCGACTTTACACTTGAGACTGAATCCGACGGAATGTTCCACTTCCTGGACGTCCATCTGACAAGAAACGACAACAACTCTTTGAAAAGGTCCATATACAAAAAGCCTACATGGAATGGACAATTCATCAACTTTCAAAGCTTCGTGCCGCTAAGCAGAAAGAGGAACCTGATATACGCTCTTTCCTCGAGGATTCGGAAGATATGCAGCGAGGAAGTGATTGAAGAAGAACTGCGTAATCTCCGAAAAACCCTGATGGAAAACGGTTTCCCGCCCAGGTTCATAGACAAGAATCTCAAATCTAAGAAGACTTCCGAACAAGTCCAATCCGTTCCAAAGAAAATACTTCTGCTTAATCTAGAATTCAAAGGTGATATTGAAGCAGAAATCCTTCGCAAACGCCTCTCCAAATCGCTGAGGAAAACATACTTCGCCGCGAGCCTACGACTGACGTTTTCCTGCAAGAAACTGTTCAACCAGAACGCGAAAGACAAGCTGTCGCATTGGGCCACCTCAACGTGCATATACCAGTTTACTTGCTCTTGTGGAGCTGAGTACATCGGCCGTACCATGCGCCGACTTGGAAAACGCGCTCGTGAACACTACCCAGCCTGGCTAGTAAAAGGAGACCAAAAACGTGTATACAGTTCAGTGACAGAACATCTGGTCAACTCAGGACATTCAGCGCCTTTCGAAAAATCCTTCAAAGTAATATACAAGATTCAATCAAACCTATCAAAGGGAGTGAAATCAAGACATCTGGGCATAGCTGAGGCGTTAGCTATCCAAAAACTCAAACCCACTCTTTGTATCCAAAAGAAATACGTCCAACCCCTGTCCCTGCCATGGCCATCATAAACAGGTAAATTTTTTAGTAATGACCATCCCATCGCCTTTCTTATCTAAACTTCCTGTTTATTCATGTTATTTTAAGTTTTCTTAATCCCTGTCTACACTACCATATTTTCATATCCACACTTCCTGTTTATTTTGTCATTTTACTATTTCTACATATTTAATCCCTGATTGCATAAACAATTATTCATCACATTAGTTTTTTATCCAAACATCCTGTATATTTTGTTATTTCTACATTTCTAACCCCCAATTGCACAATGTCAATCTTCTTAGTATTATTATGCTACTTTGTTTGAGTTTTACCCATCCCCCTGTTTATTATGGCATTCTAATTCCTAATTGTAATTTTTATTAATTTGACCCTTAACCGGAAATTATTCTGGAACTTTCCCATCCATTTGATATAAATACACGAATGTACAGCCTAGATGATGACTTCGTCGAAAAGAAAATTTTCTTCGCTGCAACTGTCTTTTTATTCCCTATGATCAAATGTGTATATAGAGGTGTGTTAATAAATTGAAGATGAAAAAGTCATGTATACAGATACAGAAGCCAACCAGGCTACACACCCGATGATTATGTGGGGTTGCCGCAGGTGATGGGAATTTAAAATTCATTCTTTGATTTAACCCTACTATCGAAAACTCTACACCTAACCATTGGAAATATTTATTACAAAAATTGGGCATCAAACAATATCGGAATGGAGAACACGCTTGTAAGCCTTCCAGAAGAGAGATACTCATCATAAGTAGTATGAAAATCCATGAGACACTCAAGACATCACTAAATGAAGCTGATGAGTACTTTCCACGTAGATGAATGGGACTTGCGGAGTAATATCTGCAGCTGGCTTTTTGAGTAAAACCTCTTCAGATGACTGTCTCTAACATGATCATTGAACAGCCTTCAGCATTTGTGAGAAAGCCATAGTTTAACGATAAAAATGCATGCAAATTTCCTGATAGTTGCTACTTCGACGTGGTGGCCAGACTTGCGGACCACAATAACCCAACGAGCTACACTGGCCGGAAGGAATATCCTCAGCAATCCACCGTGCCACAGAAGTCATCTGGATAGCGGCTAAAACAGAATCAGTTACCATCATAGTGTAAGTCATTCACACTATGTTGGACATCTCAGAGCAAAGTCGTCCTGTTGGCGAATAGGCACGTAGCGGCAGTAAGGTGTTTCCCTCAAACGAACAGCAAGCCAGCTATACTGTCTCTTCACCCTGGGGAGGAAGAATTTAGGAGAGATCGAACTCGAGTATTGCCTATCGCGACTTACCTTACAACGGCATCTAGACTAGAATCTGGACGAAATTAAATCAACTTTGATTACGTAATTAGCATATATGACACTTCAACCACCACATAACGGAAGATTAAAGACTTTGGGAAAAAACAAGTCTGCGATATTCTGACAAGTTTTGAGCGTCAGTTAAAACCACTAGTTTCCGAAATTCAAGATCAACCGAAACCCAATTCAGTTACTGTTTTCAAAAGAACTATTAGCTACGCAGTACACTGATGCGTCAATTCTAAAATAGCATTCAAACAATTCCTCTATTTAAGCAGTGGTTGAGATGGAATCAGGTACTGGACAGTATTGTACGGGTAACAGATTTTTGAGTTATCCTAATCAATTTAGACTTATACTCTCATTGATTGATTTATGTCCTTAAGACTAAAACCTTTTCCGAATATGACTGGCGTTTTGACCTGGAAAGTACATCAGAGTCGAAATGCCGGATAGATAAACTATCAAAAAGGATCTGAAACATTAAAATAAATACAGTGATAAAGAAGGACACTTGAAGAGATTTTCATTTGTTCGAGTCATACAAAATATTTCGGAATTCGATCAGTAACTCAGAACGCTTAGTGAATGTACCCAGATTAAGAGTTTATGTGAAAAAAAGACTGTTTACGAACTTACTTAAGACTGTTAATTTCTTCAGCTAGTTCAGTTCTTTGAGACTTGTATGATTCTTCACTTTGAGTTATAGAAGATTCCAGTAGCGACTGTCTCTGTTTTGACGCTTTCAACTGTTTTTGTAAATCCTCTATTTGTAATATTTGTGACTTAATCTTTTTATCCGCTTCATTTAATTTATAGTTTAAATCAGTTAGTTGTTCATTTTTAGAAGACAATTCTCTGATGTGATCATCTCTGGTTTTATTAGCTAACTGAGTCGCTTCTTCTGCAAGATGTATGCGTAATTCCAGTTCATAAAGCTTTTGTGAAGTATCAGCTTCCAGTTTTTCTCTTTCTCTTGTTGCTTTTTCAAATGTATCCTGTAAATCAGCAGAAAAACGAAGTCTTTCAGTTTCTAGTTCTGACTGAAGACGATTAATATTGTTCTGTAGCTTATTGCGTTCTTCAGCTTCTGATTTCCGTAAAACCTCCATTACTGTACTGTGTTTTTCAAGTAGTTGTTGTTCTCGCTTCACAGTTTCACGCATAGAGAATTCAATATCTTCTCTTAATTTTGCCTCAGATGATTTGGCTTGTGCAAGCTCAGAATGTGCACGATCCAGACACACCTTTATCTCACTGATAATAATATCTCTTGAATAAATATTCTGGAAGGGAAAACCATATGTTATCACTTATACTGACAGAATTAAATAATTTAATAACTCTTGAATGACTATGGAATCCATATTATTATAGTATGCTAAAGTTAAAGTGTTTATTAGCAAAGTCAGCAGTGTGATTTTGCAATAAAGACGTAAGTATAGTATAGGAAATAAAAGCTCTATCCACTTGTTAGATGAGTTTTCAAGTGAAGTATTGGGAGAACATGGCTCAGACAGCTATGATATAGATTAATGCACTTCGAAATCTATTACTCTAATGTACCAATTATTATTACTCTTGATTTAAAAAACCATGAAGTGATAACTTATTCAAGAAATATAATAATTAAATTAGTTAGTAACTGGAAGGATAGTAGGATTTATGGGATTCATGCATTTCTAAAGATTATTAGCCTTTAAATTCATATACATAGATTTAAATATCACCATTAAGTGAAGAACTGCTTAGGGAAATCAAATATACGAGTCTTGATTACAAATGTCTTCATAATTGGATAAATATGTAGATGGTTAGGGTTCACTAAACGATAATAATCACGAAAGTCTACTATTATTATTATTTCCTTGGGTTCCGAGTGGAACTTAGTTGTTCAATAACACATCTCCCACTTTCCACGATTACCCATCTCTCATCTCCTCTTCGCACGATCTACTCCATGTCACCCTCGCACCAACGACCCACTAGTCGCTTCCCATTTGGATTCCTTGCGACCAATGGCCTGGCGCGCGATGTCATTTGATGGCCTCCTCCATGTATGCCCTATCCATCTTCATTTTTTCCTACATATTTGTTGAGCGGTCGAATCTTGGTTGGTTTGTTTGCAGCCAGAGTTTCTTGTTGCTGATTCTTTCTGGCACCTGTGACGTGGCATTGTCTTGTAGCCAGCTGTTGAATGAGACTAATAAAGAATTGAGGTAGGCCATAGTGTTGAATTAATTGAAAGTCTATTACAAAGTACTTAACAGAACTAATGTATAAACTTAATGATGTTATTTTCTCCAAGATTGTTAGGAAACAATAAAACCAGAGGATACCAGCGATTACAGAAGTTTGGGCTAATCGAGTCTGTAAACCAAGCACACATGTGAAGGGGATGAAAATGACCCTGAATAGTAGTGAAAGAAGTTATATGATTAAATGACCACTTCAAAGACTATATATTTACAGATTTTAAATTAATTTCTATTGAATGTGCTCCACTAACTTTAAGACATGTCTAAATATACTTCTTCAATACTTTGTGTAAGTCGTTTGAACACAGTAAATGTAACTTTACATAATGTACTATGAATAAATGCGAGAATATTCGATCAAAATATGTGTATCTCAGCCAATTATTCTTTGTATGAGTTAATATTACTCGACTTTAGAAAAAAATCTGGGGGTAACTCGTGATAACGGTTGAACAGGATAGTGTTAATATATATATATGTATATATAGGCAGAGATTTAATTTCTTCTTGAAAGCGTCCATCGATGCCCAGCTAGCATTGACTTCAGGAGCATTGCAGATCGTTCGAACAGACTTAGGGGCGCCAGAGGAAAATGCTAGCTGGGTGGGGGGTCAGAAATGACCTTAAAATACCACAAACTAAAAATTCTTAACAACCATCTAAACTAACCTAAGTATTCTTTTACAAAAAACAAACAAACTATTTCTCCCCTTTTGATGAGTTTAAAGTCACTTAACAGTTACTAGAAAATGATTGCTTCTACGCTCTTTCACGAAAAATGGTCTTTGTGTAACCTCACCTTCTTTAGAGCTGAAACCTGTTCATGAAGCCTAGATATGATTGCGTCACGCTCCTTGATTAGCCGAAGATTGAAAATGAAGTCATTCTTCAACTTCTCGAATTGCGTTGTTTTCAAACAAAGTTGCTGCTCTAACTGCTCAGAAGTTACTTTGAGGTCACTAATTTCTTTGTGTAGAACTTGCTTCACTTCAGTGTCTCTTGCCAAGGCTAGCACATGCGAAATTAAAGAAGGAAAACTTACCTTCATCCAACCTAGTTGTGTTGATACTTCCAAAAGGAGAAACCATAGACGCTCAACCAGACGCAAAAGACTGACGAAAATTATTGTATACACCTTAAAGTCTAATTAGATTTCTCTAACATGCTTTCGAACTAATATGGACACAAAATTCACACTGTGTTTACATTATTTATTTTGCCGCTCTCATTAATTTGTTGAGGTCAAAAAGGATTTCGAGATCTTAGTGAATTTAAAGTAAGTTCGCACTCCAAGTGGTGGCTATATACAGTTTTGTTGATAAATGGTGTACAGCCTAGAGTTTTTGTGCGTTTAATAATTTATATCGCTGCTAGCTTTGCTTAAAATGCACGATGCCATAGACCTGTTTATCAAACTTATTCAGTGAACTTCCTAGTTTTATGAGTTTATCCTAAATTTCATGTCGTACTCCCAAAAATATTTGTTTTTGTACTTCATAAAGTTGGACATTGGTTACATTATGTTTGTATGCTTACAAATGGAAACAGACCCTAAACAATATTCAGAAAATCGTTATGTTTTCCATGAAGATTCATAGTGAGGACGTTAAAATGTTTACATTACACCGACGCCCAGTCTCATGACACGTTGGGATTGACACTTTTTTGTATCTTGCATCAGGTGGAATGTATCCAGCTTAAGCGTAAGTTGATGTCTTTGTCGCAGACATTCCAAGTCAGCTGACAAAGACTGACGTAAACCATAACTTTAAATTTATAGTTTCTTAGGCAGGTCCCGATGATTGTGATTTTTGCCACTCTGAATCTTGCGTTTCGTTTGGTTTTTCGGCATGCAACTGACTCAGGTTTCCCAGCAATATATGTGGCATAGAAGCCATCTAAATATGTGTTTGTGGTTTCTATAATCTTCTCTTTGTCTTCAATATCTGAATGCATCTTGTGGCTTCCCTTAAATGATAGCCCATAGCAAATCATTGGGTGCCACCATTGCCCTATTAAGCAACACAACAAATACGTAATATGAAAGCATTAACCTGAAACCTCTAAACAGTACTCAGTTTAATTTGCTAGTCAGCGCCAGGTCAATATGTACATAGGCTCTAATAGCGTAGGAGACGCGACCGAAATCAAATAAGGGACTGTTTTGTGCTCTAGCAGCTAAGCTTAGATACATATATACTTTCCTGTAGTTACATAAGAAATATATACGGCCACATTTAGAGGTCCAAGACGAAAATGACCTACAATTTCTAAAACTAAGAGATATTTTGGTAAGTGTTTAAAGGTTGGTGATTAAAGCTCCACCGTGCTAAAATGTTGGCAGTATTAAAATACAGTGTATCACAAACTGGAAATTAGTGTACACCTTAGATCGCTCCAATCGAAGCACACTTTCAAGTTTGAACTATATTGTCTTTCGGAGGAACACCAAAAGAATGGCTCACAACAGGTAAATGACAGCGCGATGCAATTATTTACTTCCGGGATTGCCAATTATAGAATGTACTGACATCTTGTGTGACCACCACTGCACCAGTTGGTTGTTTCACAAGAAGTGCAGACCATCATGCGAAAACGATAGGTTTGGGAGCATCTGTGTGACATGCAGTCTAACATTACAATATGTACAAGTGCTACAAAAAGACCATGTGCCCTTGTGAATTTTACTACTCATGTAGGGCTTCTGTAACAGAATATGATACAGCCACTCAAATGTAGTAGGTGATTAAGGAGTTAAGAAGGATGGGACGAGTAACCAAGTGGAAACTACGTCTTCCTTATGATTTGTAAGGCTTCTTTTTCCTAATGAATAATGAACTACCCTTCCATGTGTTAGACTTGGTTTCCCACTCGATTTGTCATCTGAAGTGCTTTCAAAATAAAGGTTTAAAAAATTAAATCTTTTACAGTATTACTGGCTGTTGGTCGGTTATTTGAATAATTTATGGGATGGAAAGGTCGGTTTCTAAACTCTATAAACTAAAATCGGTGTGGTCAGAATTACGGAACAGGTACTGAATCTTCAACACCGTAGTCGAATGAGTGCTGCGATATGGTTTAAAGGCTTGGCATTTGCCTTAAGGAATTGATTTAGGTGACACACAGACTTACATCAACTGCCCATTCGCCGTCTCAATACAGAAGAGTGGATAGTAATAAGGCATTAGCAATGTGAAACTAAGGCAATGAACGAACCCAAAACCTATCCCTCAACAAATAGACCGAAGTAAGTGGGGTTGTTTAAGGCAAATGCTAGACACACCTCTGGGTGACGACGAGTGCCAGGCCTTCAAGCGATGCCTGAGGGGAAAACGATGGGTTGGTTGCTTGGGTTGGCCAGGAACAAGTAGTGGTAATGGGAGGTGAGAGCTAGTGGGCGATCATGCAGACAGTTGAAAATAATGGCAGAGAAAAGAGTGGGATGGTAAGGTTCTAGTGAAGCATCATCTTCTTCTGGGGATCTAAGAAACTAGTGGTAACGTAGTATGACTACTCAATTCTAAAATCACATGAGTCTATTCCCACTGATCTAGTTCGTATGTTTGTACATACGAGTTCCCACTGTCTTAACTATTTTACACCCAATCCTCTTGCTCTGCGTAACAACCAGATTGTTTAAGCTGCTTCTTCAGTGTTTATTCATGTTAAATAAGAATTTTCTGTGAAATTTTGTTCACACGTCATAGCAGTTACACTATTCTGATGCAAAACGTGTGTTGCCACCGAAATAAATGTATGCGTGCTTAACTACTGCGTTCACCTGAGGTGATAGACTAGTAGCTGAATGACTGTTAATAGGCTTTAAAACCTATTTGATGCTGGACTTCAAAGCTCTGGAATTGATCGGCATCAGGATTTTAATGAATTTTACATAGCTTTACGTGTGATGTGTTCATTGCCAGACAAATAAATGTTTGCTTCCGGTGTTCATCCTGTCTTTTCTTGTTTGTGAATATACTAGTTAAGTAATTATTTTTGGTATGCCTTACTAAAATTGTTCTTGGTTTTTTAGTTTTCTCTTCTATGTCCTAACAGGCCGGTCAAGAAAAGAAGGAAGCACAAAAACCGGTTGACCAATATATGAAGAATCTTCCTACGTGGATCACATTGATATAGGCAGACGACCACAAAGCTGTTCACCGCCATGGCACCCACAGGAATAATTTTTATCAAGGTGCCGGAAACAGGTTTTGACTTCTAGAGAGTATGAGCTGTAGCACTGGCCCAAGAATTTTGCTTGGAGCTTTCACCATCGAACCTCCACTCTTTGAGTTGACTGGTTAAACTGAATATGCTTTGCCAAGCAACTTTTTTGTTCTGCACACTGTCGTAATAATTTAGCCTGTTCTTGCAGGTGTTCTAGTCAGTCAACTATGCCTTCCTGAACAGAGGCACTCATTGGGAAATGTACTTCGTATTTTGAACCATGTATTTCTTGTCTTGGTTTGACATTTAAACAGTTGTCTGGTCTACATCCAGCAAATACATTGAGGCTGGAAGGATATGCACGATATGATAAATGATTATGTCTTGTGAGCTAGCCAAAATTTTTATTCCTCTAAACAATTATATACAAGTTTCTGGAATTCCGCCGTCCTCGAACCACTCACAGTTTCGTGAAACCTTTTATTTTCAAACTGCATGGGAGCACCACGCACAAGTTTTAGTGACCTCGAAAAACTGCTAAATCCTGTTTTGTGAAACATGCTATAATGACTGTTATTATGTTCTGCAGCTTCATGTCAAGACATATCCAATCTCACAAATATAGCCATCATTTCCTTGATCGTAATCCACAAGGCTACAGGGGTGTCACCAGATGGTCTAACCAAAAGCCGAATTGACATCATCTCAATGCTGCTCGGGACATAAATCAACACTGGCGGAGAGACCAGAGTTGAAAAAAACTGGAGCAACCTGAAAGTGGTGTGGAGTCAAAGCTGAAAGGGAGTTCTAGGCAGAAAGAAGAGGCAAGACAAACTGTCTCACCACAAAAACATGGAAACTGATAGTAGAGAGAAGGATGGTGAAGATTATCCATTGCATCGACGACCAACAAAACCAGGAGTTGAATGCAAGCTACAATAAGCTGAAGAAAAGAGTTGAGAAAAGTGTCAGGGAGGACAAAGGGCAGTATTAGGAAGCCATAGCAGCAGAACAAGCTGCAGGCAAAGGAGACCTCGCAATACCCTACCAAACAACTGGATTCTTATCAGGGAAGAGATCAACACAAATTAAGCCACTGAAGGATGACAAGGGGAAGTCAATCACCGAAGGGGTAGAGCGAAGGAAACACTGGGCTGAACACTTCAAATAACTTCTAAATCAACCGCTACCTACGACGCGCTCAATAATAGCAACAGCGCACCAGTGGACATCAACCCCCCGAGCGGAAACGGAAATCCTGAAGTCAATCAAGATTCTGAGAACTGGAAAAGCAGCAACACCAGACGAAATACTTGCAGAAGCACTGGAAATGGACCCAGAGACAACAGCGTACTTGATGACATCACCTCTGAAGAAGGCGTGGAAAGAGGGCGAGTTATCTGCGGATTGGAAGAAAGGCAGCCTGTTCGAACTACCAAAGAAAGGAGAACATAGAGAAAGGAGAGGTGATGACGATTCCTCACCAACAGCAACAGCGACAACAACAACAATGGACAACAATCAGCATCAGTGGGAGAAATCTGAAAGAAGCAACCTCCTTTACCTAACTACCCACCTACCGGCCTGAAAAGTATCGTTTCATCTGCAGGTGGACGGAACTGATGAGATATGAAAGCGAGGTTCGAGGAAGCAAGGCAAGCTTTCATTACTCTCAAGTCTGTGGGGAAGATCAACAGCACTCAGCAAGCAAAATGAAATGCGGATTTTCAACTCCAATCTGAAGTCAGTGCTACTTACATACTGATCAGAGACTCGGCGTGGCGTCAAGAAGGCCACTTCGAACTGTGGTGAGAGCTGTCTACTAGCCAAATTGGTAGACAGTAATTTACGTCAATATTTACGTTCCCAAGATTTGTCGTGAGAAAATGTGAACAAAGATTGATTCAAAACCGACCACAGCAGACTTTGCGTAGGCGGATGCAGTTAACATATAGAGGATTCGACATTCAAGAAACAGTCACAAGTAGATGAAAGATTAACTTTACGTGAGAAACAACCAATCGGAAGACTGTGTTTGTTTGCTTAAATATCCATAATAATGTACATGAAAATATATAAATA